GTGTGTGTGTGTGTGTGTGTGTGTGTGTGTGTGTGTGTGTGTGTGTGTGTGTGTGTGTGTGTGTGTGTGAGTGTATCCCAACACTAAGACAAAGAAGAACAATTCACCTCGTCCGGGAGCAACGTGATCTAAGAGATAAATCGAGAGAGGAAAAACATAACGCATGGTGCACATTACACAGACACACGGTACACTCCACAGCCTGAGAATAGAGATCTACAGTAAATTCTCTTCAAACATACACCCACATGTTCTGAGAGGAACAGAGGACATCCTGGTAACCTTCACATTAATCACCAGTACACCTGACTAAACACCAGACCTCCATCCACGTCTACTTTTTCCCATGTCAGTCAGAGGAGAAGTGATGAGAACTGTTTCCTCTTTTTCATTAGAGGCTTACAAATTAATTGATTCAAACTGTTAAGCTGGATTTCAGATCTGCTGCATCGCTACAAAGCCTTCAGATAAAACACAGGAGGAAGTGAAACCACATTTACGTGAGCTTCAATTGTAAAAGCCTGACAGGACATGTGTATCTGTTTTATTTTAGTAGTCAATAATGTAATTTACTCCTTGACTGCCCGTCTTCCATTCTAGTTTAGGTGTTTTTACCTTCATCATGTGTTTGACAAACATTTCTTCTACCTCCCATTTTAATCTGACAAACAACAAAACAAGCTGTGTTTGGACAAACTAATTAAACAGTATAGGAGGGTTCACAGTTGCACAACTTATCATCTGACTCATGTCACCTGATTTAAAGACTTGCTGTATATGACAGAGCCCCTGATTCCACTCCTGAATAATGAACTTTTTTTAAATAGTTCTTTTCTTAACACTTAACAATCCTTTAGGATGAAAAAGATGTTAAAATGTTTTATTACAGTATACTGTATATTGACCAATTGCAATTCAGTCTCAGCTATCAACCAAGGCATTTCATTGATATGTATTTTGAACTTTTTGTTTGGTCCATGTTTCATCCACCAACATGGAGGAGGCAGGGTTTATGGTCTATCCTACAGCCGGCCGCCAGGTGGCGATGGAGACACTTTGGTTTCCATTTTGGAAGAGTGATCATGCCGACCATTTTTATATAAAGTCTATGGTTCAGACTGATTAGTGACACTACTGCACAAAAAAATCACTGGAGCATAACTAATATAAATCACCTTTTTTACAGTATCATTTTTAATTCGTATGAAATATGAATCTTACCACTCAGCCACGTCATATCAAGAGTATTTATTCTTTTTACACTTTGTAACTGAGGCAGCCAATTCTTTCTCCTTCACCTTCACACACTCGCTCTCGCATAGACACAAATCCCCACTGCACTCCACTTCTTTCAAGCTGACGCACACAAATGTAAAATCTTTGTTTGGTCGGTCACAGATTATTCTGTTATATTTCAAAGACATGAGTCTTAGGCAAGACTCCTGTCCTGTTGAGATGAATGTGTCCATACAAATTAAGGAACACTAAATAGAGACAGCTGGAAAAAGAGTGCAGTCATACCCTCAGCAACACAAGGGCCATAATTCATTGAGGGCTATAGTATAAAAAATACACAAAGGCAGACACACACGTACACACGTTGTCGTATCTTGGGGTCGGCGGAGCGCAAAATGTTGCAGTATTTCAGTGTGACAGGCAACACTGTGCTTATGTGCTTATCGTTTGTGCTGCCTGGACAAGATGTCCCTATCCCCTTGCTGGTCCCCATCACCCTTGTATGGCTTCTTAATTACTGATAAACAAAGTAGTATTCATATAGTACACATATATACACACAAAACACATATCCTAATTCATCAAGATACTAATATATTTTGTGATAATGTATGAATCTGAAGCAAGCATTAAAAATGTGTAAAGAGCGTCTCATCATCGGCTTTAAATCACTGATATTGTAATGAGTGCTGCTGCCTGTGTGTTTCTGTGTATTCATTTTCTGGCTGTTACTATTTGAAGGAGTCTGTGTCTAATATACGGACTCTGCTTCTCACTAAAACTGTCTCTGAGTTATGTGCTCATATATTGTGATATACACCCCTATTACATTCTTCTCCATAACTTCACATTGGGTAACACATCTCTGAGTCATTAATGAAATTAGATGAAATGGGGTGAACTTGGAATGGAGAATAAAACAATCACATTAATAACTAGTGTTTGTTTTCATCCTAAATTAATTTCCTGCTCACACAGGCCAGAATGCCCCTCAATCTGAATCTGCGTGATAATAGTCACAGTACTGGACCAGGTACACAAGCTGTAATGAAATAGGGAGGGAGAATAAATGCTATTGTTTGTGTGCGAATGTGTGTGCTGTCAAATCCAGGATGTGCATGGAAGATTTTTTATTTTATTAGTCTTACACACACAAAACAGTAATGGCCCAATGTAAAATTGTACGAGCATGTGTTTCTGTGTGGCTGTGTGTATGTGCCTGTGTACTGGACCACATCTGCAGGGCTAGCCCTATAAATGTGAATGTCCCTGACTGACTGAGCGATGAAGTTACACCACTGGTCACTGGTCACAACAGGCTTTTACGTACATCCTTTTGTTTGAGTATGAGCTGGTCCATGTTAAAGGTCCCATAGTAAAGTAAGTGAATTTCCAATGTTGTATTTTATTATAAAGCAGGTCTGGGTGCTATATAAATACTGTGGAAGTATTAAAACAGGAACAGTCCTCTACTATGCCCCCTCAGCATGAACCACCCAGTCCCACTGTTCAATCAGTTTTGTTCGGCCTCATTTCAGTTTTAATCTGCTTAATTCTCCTATAGAATGTTGTATTACTTTTATCTTTCTGTTTTAAGTTTTTATTTTATTTTATTAGTTACACTTGAACTGAATACCGCCTACTATTATACTATTGGACTGCAGACCTGCTTACTCATAGTTAAAGGGTGAAATATTTTAAAGGAATGGAATACTTGTGGTATTTTATTACTTACATTTTAATTAAATTCGTACATGCACAACATTCACTCCCATTATTGTCTTTCACTTGTGGACAACATTGCTGTCCATTAGTGCCAGTGAATGGAACATTGCATACAAGTTGTCAGGACCAAGTGTCTGTAGGGCTTCACTGACCTTTAGAATAATCCACTAGATGGGCGAGAGCCTACTTTATATATGAGTGGCTTTTCAAATTTTCTGACTTCTCCTTTTTTCCCTTCAGTCGCAACCTTTACATGACCTTTATGGGAAGAGAAGTCATTGACCGTCCCCCTATCTGTCATTTAGTCACCTCCTCCATCTCTATAACTCTCTACTTTCTTTGCTCTGCTGAAGCTGATGCAGTCTTTTTCCCAGCTGGTCCACCTCTCACTGTCTCTCCATTAGTCACTAGCTCTCCTCACTATGTGCTAGCTGTGGCATTCTGAGATTCTCTGATGTATTTTTCTTTAAGGAAACTGGAACCAACACTACTTAGACATCAACTACTATTATTATGTTACACACAGGTAACCTTCATCACCACAAACTAATAACAAACACTTGATGGAAAGCAGAAAACAAATGGAAAATTACTGGTGAAATAAGTTGAAATATAATTCAGGAAAGTGAATCCCCCCCTCTGTGATTCCTGCACATACTTATTTACTATCCTCTCTTTCTCTCTCCTGACTCCCTTTTTCACTCACCTCATATCCTTCTTCTTCTGTCTTACTTCCATTCTCACCCACCCACTTAAGTCTGCCCCAGCTTGTCCTCGCCACCTCTCCCTCTCCTTTCTCTTCCTTTTCTAGTGCACTGACTGTGATATGATACGCACCCTCTCTCCTCCTTCTCTTTACTCATGCTCTGTTTCAGCTGTTGCAGTTTCTCTTCCATGTCTTTGCTCTCCAGGGCCAGAGTTACAGTCTCCATCTGTAGTTCTTGCAGGTTCCTATGGCAACACACACACACACATATATATTCAAACAATCAACAACAATCAATCAAACAAATGACCTGCTCTTCCAGATTGGATGTCCAGGCTTTTATCAATATGTTCAATTCATCTGCTGCACTGGTAGATCCCTGTGGCCATGACAGATCCATACTTTAATCAATTAGTCACTGGATCAGGGTACCACCAAGCAAGCCATCAATTCAGTCAATTACCTGTTGGCAAATGAGAAACTACAGTAGGAGGTTGGACTCAGTTTTGCACTGGGCAGTTATTAAGGTAACAAATACTGAACACTGAAAACTGAAAACTGTTAGAATCCCGGTCACAAGGTTTATCTTGCCCAGAACTCCACTTTGTGAAATGGCCATTCAGGTAAAGATGGAAGAAGTGTGGCAACGAAGAAACCCTAATCGGCTTCTACCAAATGCCTTAAATCACATCATTGATCTTATCTCATCTTACCTGGCATTGAGTTTGACGGATTTGGCCTTGTTGTTAGGAAGCACCACGAAGTCATTTAAATTCATGTCTGCTCTGTCTGTGGGCTCAGGTATTCCTCTGGCGTATTTCTCTGCGCCTTTTACAAAGAGGCTCTTCTGCAATAAAAAAGCAACAGTAATGACATAAAATAGGCTATCATGCTGGGCCCTGGCTAAATCACACAATGCCATAAATGAATACTGCTGCAATCAAATAAGCAAAATAACGGCGACAGATTTGCTCAAATGTGTAAGAGGCAGTTAAAACAAACCGTCCCGTGTGTTTAAATTGGGTCTGGCAGACTAATGTGCTCCACAAAAGGCTGTAAACTCTTTAAAACAGCAAAAGCCAATTATGGATATGAACCAGCGAGGCAGCCACACCTCCTAGCCACTCACCCAATAGCAAAGTGAGTAAAAAGGAACCAGCACCTGAACAGCAGCAGTCAGAGCACTGATGAAACGAGAAGTTTCATGATTGCTTCCATGTCAGAACTGAAAAAAACCACTGATGTAAGTAATAACCTTTAAGTGTCTCGATGAGAGAGCCATTATGCAGAAGGTCAGTGAATAGGATGCAGCCTTGATCATTTTTATTGTTATGAAGTATATCTGCTTTCTCTGCCATGACCTCAATCATTTATTGTAGACATTCAGATGACAGCCATACTATGGTATACTGAATGTTTTAGTGTTTTGATTTATGGCTGGGCGATATAGACAAAAATTGTGTCATGATAAATGTAACATTCTTATTTATTTCAAGTGTAAAGACTGATATTTGCTCCAGAGTGAAGGTTGTGGCTTTAAACGTTTCTTTATGAGCAGAGAATGACAAAAACTTAGAAACAAATTATTAAACTGGT